CTGCTTTGTTAAATGTGTTCTGTGGCCACAGGGCAAGAACTGTCTGCCCTCATCAGGGTCAGTCTCTGTGCTTCCTCCCTTGCACCCGGGACTTCAGGCAGAATGCTGGCCTCTCCAGCTTCTCTTCTGCCAGCTAATGCTGCCGGTCAGCTCTGCAGCTGGTGAAAACACTGCGAACAGCCAAAAGCCTCTTTCCTGCAGCTTCAGCCTTGATGCCTTTCTCACTAATGGTGCTGCTTCTTTTCTGCTTAACCTGTTTCTGCTCTAGTCAGCAGGAGCTTTTTGTCATTTTAATGAGCTCTCTTTGTCATTAATCTTCCTTTCTATTCCATGTGCATTTTTCTACTTGAGAGATTCACAGACACCTCCTTTAATTCTGTTCTTTCTCCTCACCGTTGACCGGAGAGTGTCTTTCTTTTTTGTCTTAATAATAAGAAGTCATAGCACTTTGCTTGTGTCATACTATAATTCTGCACAAGTCTCCTTGCCTGTACTCTTATATAGCTTTTTTCTGAGGTTAGGAGGAAGAGATTACAACAATTTTGTCTGCTGAAGAAGCTGTCCTCTATAGTTTCTTTCCTTCTGTCTTTACATGAGACTCTTCTGATTATTTGTACTGATTCTCTTTGTGTAAGCTGCTAATTGCACACAAGGCAGCCATTCTGTTTCCGTAGCCTGGGAAAACCTTGACATGCTTAAAAGGGTTCTCTTTGGTTTTGTTTTCTAAGGATTCAGGGGATTGGGTTTTTTAAAATATGTAGCTAAAGTCAGAGGAGTCATCCCGTGCAGCCTCGCCCATGAATTTCATCATTGCCTTTTCTTCTGTCCCTCTGTTTAACAATCAGCTGCGGATCTTGTCTTTCAGATGTAGCTTTTAATTGGCTGAATCACTTCTGAACTGATCTATCGATTGTTTCACAGGCTGTCCCCCCAGGAGAATAAAGGAGTAGGTTGCCAGGGTACAGTGAGGTTTCTGCATTTTTGGTAGGATTATCCATTACAGTCTTTATTGACCACAACATGTTATTACTTCACATTTTTAATACAATCAGTGTACACAGTTAACTATCAAAGAGTAAACTATTGTAAAACATATGCATCGGAGGAACCTCCTAACTATTTGCTACTCCTACATTTGATGCTTTTTTTTTCTGAGAGTGCATATTCTATCATGCAAATATGCTTTGTGTGGAAGTAGGTCATTATAATAAACTGGTATTTGTTTGGCGGTAGCAAAAGCATATGAATTTGTCTGATGTGCCAGTCAACAAACTTGCCATTCACCTTTTGGAAGGTAAGAAGGGAACAGCTGCGCTAGTCTAGAACAATTCACATTTTCAGTGTTCTTAATTTCTCTCTGGAGAAAGGGCACAAAATAGTTCTGAAAGCCATGGAGCTTCCTTACAGAGTATAAATAAAAGCACTTTTTCCTTTTTGCTGATCTCACTAGTCTAGATCAGAGTTCATTTTTCTTTTCATGCTTAGATAAAACTATTTTCCTGATACAGGGTTGAGAAATATTTTTTTGTGGTTTGTTTGTTTTAAGCTCATGTTTCCTTCAGCAACCTAGAATCTCCCCAGTCTACCATTATCTCATGATTGGACAGGATGTTTCTCGTGCAAAGATGCAGTTATGGTAGCTTTTGTAAAAAGGAGCATTGAACTTTGCTACAAACGTGTTGGTTGATAATTTTGTTTTCTGAGAATCTTAATATCTCTTCATTTTCTGGTAAATTTCTAATAACAGGTTGCAGCAGTGCATCTTGCCACCTGTCTGGCAGAGAAGGTGTTAAGTAAGTGGAACATAAATTGTGCACCAGGAATATCTTTTTTCCCAAACTGTTTATTCTTCCTGGCCCCTGCATGGCCTAATTGGATACTCTTTGTACTTAATCCAAAACATTTTTCTTAACCTTTGTGCAATAATTTGTTTCTAAAAATACAGGTTACCATCACTGTTTTTGTAGGTGTTCCATCACAGGTTGAGGAATGGTGAATTAGGGATGTTGTAGTATTGGAAGCTGTATGTCTAATGTGCTGCTTTTTTTTTTTTTAATTTCTTTAAAATCAGATTTGTGACTTTGGACTGGCTCGTGTTGCAGATCCAGATCATGATCACACAGGATTCTTGACAGAATATGTGGCCACACGCTGGTACAGGGCTCCTGAAATCATGCTGAATTCGAAGGTAAGAACCATAGTGCGCTGCTAGGGTGCTTCTGCGGCTGGTTATTCACTTGTGAGTACCAACTTCACTTCCCCCTTCCCCGTGCTTTCGGGATCAGAATGCATGCATAGTCTTGAGGAAATGTGGTAATGGTGTCCAGTTCCTTGCCAATCATGAGACTTCTTTCCATCAAACGCTCTTCTACAGGGCAGGATTTTTTCAGGACGGAAGTACTAGCAATGAGAGCATTTTACTACTGTCTTCATGAAGGCTTGCAAATGTCGCCTTAATATTAATCTTGACAGCTTCATTTAGGTTTAGAATGTATAATGAGGGTGAATCTGATTCTGAAGGCATGTGATCTTTGTGTGTCAATCTTAATTGCATTCCCATAGTCGTAATGAAATCATCCCTTTGGGGTTTTTTTACTTGGAATTATTCTTACGTTCTTCTGTGGCTGTTTTAAGGTGTATCCAGTAGCTGTATGGTGTGAGTAATGGGTCTCCTTCATAACCTTTGCATTTAGTTTCTACAGCCATACGCTTGTTCACAAAATACCTGTGATAGCTGCATCTGTATTTTGTATTCCTCAAAGGCTTTGTTGTTTTGTAGGATTATTGCTTCACTGGTTGTTGGGTTTGATTTGTTGTGGCAATGCTGTATCTAATACACTTCTAGAAAATAGTCATTTGACCAATTGAGGGTTTTTTTTCCCCAGCTTCTTGTATTTCAAACTCACACTGAGCCATAAATGTAGGGCGACTTAACCTTGTTTCTGGACACACGTATATTTATCAGCAACTTTGACAAGAAAATATTCTGTGTGTTTCTTAAATGGTCAACTTACCATTTTCCTGGCTTATAGCCTCACTTCTTTTAGAATTACAGTGCCTTGGAAACAAATGCTCAAGTGATCATGGCTTTTGTTGGAAGCTCCCTGCTAATGGCAGGGGGAGCAGTGGGCAGCAGGCTATGGGAGAAGAAGGCAAGGGAGCTTGTGGGGCCAGGGGTTCTTGAGGTGAACTTGCTCTTCTGTTACCCAGGCACTAGTGTAACTCAAGTGCTTCGGAATAACAGCCTTTTCTTATGGACAACAGAGATTATCCCTACACATGGACATATGGGCATTTGTTCCATTCTTCTTATATCCCATTGGCTGTTGTTGGCCTTCTCACATCATCTTTACTACTTACTTACCTATTGTGGTTTACAAATCAGCTAACCAACAACCTATTTTGCCCTTTCACCACTTTGATGCTGAAGGCTTCTTACTTGTGTGGTATATAGATCCTGTTGGGAAGAAGGATGGCTTTTTTTTCCACATGGGTTTAGCATACTGTTAGGAGCTTAAGGAATTAAGAATAGCTTGTTTCCAAAATTTGTTAGTGTAAATTTGCTTTAAAATTAGGGACTCTCAAAAATTTGCAGTTGGTACTATGGTTAGCTAAAGTTAGAGAATCCTTTTGGAAAAGTGTATCTTGCATACTTCAGTTATTGCTACCCCTTCAAAGTAGCATTTTGATACGCAATTCTTAATTATTTCATTCTGCACAGAAAAATCAAACAGCATGAACAAGCATGACTAATTTAAAAAAGAAAAAAGATTTATTTGCATGCACTTTGAAAATTTACTAAAGTAACATATTGCTGCAATTACGCAAAAATTTCTTTGACAAAAATATGGTTTTGCTTTACTTTCAGGGTTACACCAAGTCTATTGACATCTGGTCAGTAGGCTGCATTCTGGCAGAGATGCTCTCCAACAGACCTATCTTTCCAGGAAAACACTACCTTGACCAACTTAACCATATCCTTGGTAAGCTTTATATAAAGTAGCATTTCCACACCCATCTGTCTCCATCTTTTCTCCAACTAAATGAGTCTTGGTCACTCATTTCTTTCTCTTCGTTGGTCAGTGTATAACATATGGATCTGTAGGTGTATCGTCTGTTCCCTGTAGTTATTTCTGCAGTGATTTCTACAACAAATAATTGATTTAGAGGGCAACTAGAGGATACTTACCAGTTTACTTACTATATCTGCAGAGATGTTTTTAAAATAAAAAAATAAAAGCTCAAATACACATGTCAGTTTTGTTGTTTGTTTTTAATTTCTATAGATATGCCACTTAGTTTGGTCTTTTAAACAGATTACTGATCATTAGAAAACTCAAATGCATTTGTTTGTCTGAATGCAGAAAAAATAACTTAAACCTTTTTAGTGAAGTTTTCTAAAAAAAATTCAAAGGTATTCTTTACTCTTAAAACATTTAGTCTAAAAACTTCTTCCCAGCAGTTTTAATACTGAGTTTTAGCAAACATGATAAAACCATTTTAATCCTTTTCATAGAATGCAGTACTGTTTGTGGTTTTTTTGTTTTTGTTTTTTTTAGGTATACTTGGATCCCCTTCCCAAGAAGATTTGAACTGTATAATAAATTTAAAGGCCAGAAACTACTTGTTCCTACCACACAAAAATAAGGTACCATGGAACAGGCTGTTTCCAAATGCTGACCCCAAAGGTATTTTATGCTCTATTACATTGTATCAGATCTTCAGAAATGGGAATGAGCACCAAAAATGTCAGGATGGGATTTTTCGAACCCACCCTAAGAATTTATCTTCATCTATATCGGAAATAGAATATGCAGGTCCCTTAAAATGGCAGTACAAATCTAATATAAAATCATAAACCAGCATGGAACCCTCATAGTAGCTTATCTTTTTAAAGCAATTTTTAGTAACTCTTAAGATTACGTGCTGTGGTGGTTGATCTTTAACTTAACACATAAAACATGAATCTTAATTCTTGTTATTGTCTTTGAAAGCATGATGTATGACTCAAGTACCAAACACAGGTGTTGGATTTGACTTAGGCATCAAACAAATCTTGAACTTTGTTTCTAAAATCAGCTCGAAGATAGCTGTTCATTGCTGAGCTCAGTGTAGTTTGTGCAGACTGCATGTCAGTTCTAGATCAAACACGATAACATCAGTCAAAGTATGGGTCCTTTGGCAGTATGAAAGGTTCACATTTAATGGGTTAGAAAATTCAGTTACAGTACGTGGAGCAAAAGTTATAAAAGCAAGGAATGTAACAATTGTTGCTTTTCTTAAGGCTTTAGTAAAGGGTAAATATGATTTTGTTTTGCTAGATAGCCGTTAGCTTGCCTTTTAAATACTACTTCATACATTTAAGAGTGGTTGTCTTTACAGTACAGTGCTCTTTCACCTGCTCTGACACAATTCATAAGTCACTTTTTCTAAACTGAGATGATAATTTACTCTTCGTGAATATGATAAGGTACTGAACTACTGGGTAAAAGCTGAGTTCTGCACATGGCACTGTGTAGAGCTGGCTGAGAGAAACAGCAGTGCTTTACTCTGTTTTTGTAATAGTGCTCATCAATGTGAGAATTTTTACCGTGGGCTTCTGACAGCTCAAGTTGTAGCATTGCTGATATGCTTAGCTGCCAGGGGAGCATGCAGTTTGCCTGACTTCTGCAACACCTTTTCATCTAAATCTTCAGAGTAGCTTTGACAGAGCACTTTTGCAAAAAGCTGCTTGTCAATCATTTCAGTAAAAAGCATTGTGCACAACATACTTTAGCGTGGCGTGAGCATGTGAGTTTCCAGTGTCGAGAAAACTGCATCAAAATATTTAATGTTAATTGCTGTGCAAGTTTGCAGCTTTTTCAAGCTGCCAGTGAATGCAGTGGTGAAGTTCTGTCTCTTCTGCAGTGCTTGGTATGCATCTCATCCTGGTGCAAAGCTGCAACTACTTTACTGCATTGAAAGCTTTTATTAAAGTTCTATGTCATAAATGGTGTAATGAGGAGAAGAAATGGAATGAAATTTAGGATACTGCTGATATCTTTGGGCTTCTTGCTACTACAATCATTCTGTATTATTTTATTGGAAAAGGAAAGTGTGTTACAGTCAAAGTAGCTGAACAACTGCAGTAACTCTGACGTGTAACATTTGTCCAGAATTTCATCAGACCTCACTCTCTGTCTTACTGGATCTTCAAGCTTTCTATGGATTCTTTATGGGTTGTCTTCAACAGATTTTGCCTGAATCTCATGAATATGAATATATTTGCATCTTAGCTGGAGAGTATCTTCTGGGCTGCTAGTTACGCTACAGTAGTTCACTGTGATGATCTAGGACTCCTAAGGATTTCTGGATGACGTTTTCATCATTAAACAGCCAAGTTTTCAGAATAAGAACATATTCTTGATTACTTACTCATTTCAGAAAAGCTCTCTCTTGGTTTGATTTTTGGCACAAAAGTCCAAAATGTCTGAGTGAAGAAAAACCCTGATCTGTTGAATTTCTGCTGTAGTTAAAAACAGATTGTACCATAGGGTTCTACACATTTCTTCCTTCGACGCTCATTCTGACGCTGAAGAGCCTTTGAAAGGGTATACCACCTCCCTTAGCCCAGACCGTGCCAAAGGCAGCTGTAACCAGGGAATGCC